ATATTTCTGTGTGTGCCTGTGTGTATCAGGTGTGTGTGGTGTGAGCGATGTGTCTCTGTTCCTGTGCCTGTGTGTGGTGTGTCTATGTGTGTTCAGTGTGTGGTATGTGTGCATTTGTGTCTGTGTGTCTGTGCACATGTGTAGTATGTGTCTCTGAGTGTTGTGTGGTGTGTGCACATGTGTCTGTGTGTCTATGCACATGTGTAGTGTGTGCCTCTGTGTGTTGAGTGTGTGGTGTGTGCACGTGTCTGTGTGTCTGTGCACATGTGTAGTGTGTGCCTGTGTGTGTTGTGTGTGGTGTGTGCGTTGTGTGTGGTGTGTGCACGTGTCTGTGCACAGGCGTAGTGTGTGCCTGTGTGTGTTGTGGGTGGTGGGTGCGCATGTGTCTGTGCACATGCATAGTGTGTGCCCATGTGTTGAGTGTGTGGTGTGTGCATGTGTCTGTGTGTGCACATGTGTATTGTGTGTCTGTGTGTATTATGTGTGGTGTATATGTGTCTGTGTGTCTGTGCACGTGTAGTGTGTGCCTGTGTGTGTTGTGTGGTGTGTGCACGTGTCTGTGTGTCTGTGCACATGCTTAGTGTGTGCCTGTGTGTGTTGTGTGGTGTGTGCATGTGTCTGTGTATGCACATGTGTATTGTGTGTCTGTATGTATTGTGTATGGTGTGTGTGCATGTGTCTGTGCACATGTGTAGTGTGTGCCTGTGTGTGTTGTGTGGTGTGTGCATATGTGTCTCTGCACATGCATAGTGTGTGCCTGTGTGTGTTGTGTGGTGTGTGTGCATGTGTGCGTGTGCACATGTGTATTGTGTGTCTGTGTGTATTGTGTGTGGTGTGTGTGCATGTGTCTGTGTGTCTGTGCACATGCATAGTGTGTGCCTGTGTGTGTGTGTGGTGTGTGCATGTGTCTGTGTGTGCACATGAGTATTATGTGTCTGTGTCACTAGTGTGTGCATGCTCATGCATGTGCATTGGGTGTGTGTGGTATGTCTCTGCTTGTGCATATGCATTGAGTGTGTGCGCGTGTGCATGTGTGTGCACGTGTGCCTCTGCACCCACCTGTGTCTGTGTGTTCAGGCCTGTCAGGGGGCTGTGTACCCAGCAGTGCGATGTGTCTGGAGTTTGGGGGAGCCAAGCTAACGTCGGCCGGGAGGGTGTCACCGGTGAGGGGCATGTTGGCAGCCAGGGCTCCCCTTGAGCCCCTGGAGGACGTGAACATGAGTAGTGAAGGCCCCTCTGAGCCTGGGCCTCACGGAGGACGGCTGCAGAACAGAGGTTGGAGGCAGCCAGCTGGGGGGCAGGAGGAGCTGGGGGTGGCCCCTGGGGCAGGCGGGGCTGCAGTGTGTGGGTGCCGGTCTGCGTGGTCACCTGTGCACATGCACACCCTCCCCAGCTTGGTGTCTACGCCATCCCTGCTGGCGTTGCCTGCCTGCTGTCTACCACCTGCCTCTGGGAGAGCGTGCCCCCCACCCCGCCCTCTGCTGGGGCTGCCAGCTCCACCTCGGAGAAGTTCCTGGACGGGCTCAAGCTGGTCCGTGCTTCGGGATCCCTGGGGTGGGGTGGATTTGGGGGCGGGGCAAGAGACCGAGGAGAGGATGGAGTTGTGAAGGGCCCCCAGCCTCCGGGGCTGAGAGGCTCTTTCCCTGCAGCTCGTGAGGAACAAGGCCTATGTCATCCTGGCTGTGTGTTTTGGGGGAGGCATCGGGATCTTCTCCAGCTTCTCAGCCCTCCTGGAGCAGATCCTCTGTGCAAGCGGCTACTCCAGCGTGAGCCCTGCCCCACCACAGGGGCTCTGCCTCTGTCGCCTGCCCTGTGTGGCCGCAGAGTCACTGCAGCCTACAGGGTGCTTGGTGTCCAACCCTGGTGGGGCCACATGAACACCCTCCTGTGCTGTGGGCCTCTCAAGATGCCGTGTGGGACGTTATGTCCGCAGGTGGTGGGCACAGCTTCAGCTGATGGTGTTCTGTGGATGGGAAGGTGGGGGCCTTGGAGCTCCCAGTGTCCCTTCCCCACAAGGCCTCCCCCCGGGGGTGTGCAGGGCAGGGCCACCTTCTGGCATCCAGGCATGCAGCAGGAGGGCCTTGCTCTGCTCACACATCTCCGGCTGCCCTCTGCCCTCTGGCATCAGTGCCTGCTGTAGGATTAGGGGCATGCTTCCACCTTGGCCACAGGCACCCCAGGGGGCCTCTGCGGTGACAGGCTCCTCCCTTCAGCCATTGCTTTGCTCTGGGGTGGGGCGGGGACACAGGGCAGGAACCCCCATCCCGGCAGGCAGCCAGCGGTGTGGCTGGAGCCTCTGTTGCCGGGTCTGGGCCTTGGGGACAGCACATGGCCCCACCCTGAGCCCCCTACCCCGACGGTGTGCCCTGAAGATAACAGGGCCCCTCGGGGCCCGGCCCTTCCCTGCCTCTTCCAGGGCTTTTCTGGGCTCTGTGGAGCTCTCTTCATTGTGTTTGGGATTCTGGGCGCGCTGGCTCTCGGCCTCTACGTGGACCGGACCAAGCACTTCACTGAGGCCACCAAGATCAGCCTGTGCCTGACCTCTCTGGCCTGCGTGGCCTTTGCCCTGGTGAGGGGCTCCTCAAGCCAAGACCACCCTGAGGGGGGTGGGTGGGTGGTGAGGCTGGGAGAGGGCAGTTGTCAGCTTGGCTGGAACAGAGGTCTGGACTCTCTCAGGCCTGGCCTCTGCCAGCCAGGATGGCCCCTGGGTGGGATGGATTCTCCCGCCCTGCGCCCTGAGAAGCCAGGTCCAGTTCTGATGGCCACCCCTTCTGCCTGTCTGCCGGCCGTTCCGCTGCCCCCAGGTGTCCCAGCTGCGGGGACAGACCCTCGCTCTGGCTGCCACCTGCTCGCTGCTTGGGCTCTTCGGCTTCTCGGTGGCCCCCGTGGCCACAGAGCTGGCAGTGGAGTGCTCCTTCCCCGTGGGCGAGGGGGCTGCCGCGGGCCTGGTCTTTGTGCTGGGGTGAGTGTCCATCTGCCCCTGCTGTACCCCAGAGACACTCCTTTTGCTTCACCCCTAACCCCCTGGGGTGGCACCATGTGGCCCAGGCCCCTTTTCAGGGAGGTGGGATCCTGCCTGCTCTGGTAGAAGGTTCTGAGCGCCTGCTGTGTGCAGCCTGGACCAGTTGATGGGCCTGTGCTGACCGAGCTGCGTGCTGCCTTCTGGAGGGTGGTGGCAAAAGGGACAGTCCTGATGTCAACCCTTCCCAAAGTAGTACTTGGCTCCAAGGGGCAGGCAGTGCAGCAGGGGGGCGCTGGGGGTATGTGATGCAGTGGGGGGGG